TTGTGATAAATTGTATGAGCCCCAATAAATTGATTAATTTAAAAAAAAAAAAAAAAAAGGGTTAGTCTCAGCAACCCACAGAGCTAGTTCTGCCCTGTCCTATAGGGTCACTGAATAGGAAGTGACTCAACGGCAGTGGGGTTTCTTTGGCTTTTTGTCCCTTTGGGGTTTCAGTTACTTGAAATCCTATGGTATACTGCACTAGTTAAAACAAAATTGGTTTGTTTTTTTAATGTTCTTTCAATGAGGGCCCCAAAAGTACTTGACACAGCAAGATGCATGTTATTGTATTAAGAATGTAGAATAATACAGTGTCACTCAACTTAAACTTCCCAGTCTTACTGTTCTTGTTCCTAGCAAGAACTCTGGCCTGTGACTGGTGCTTATACTGTCTGCTTACCAGAAACTGTCAATGTCTGCTTCTCTTTAACTTTGCAGTCTGTAACATCATGCCATTTATTAAAATATCCATATATATATATTGCTTTGCCTGTGTCCAAAAATCCTTAGTGTACTACTACTTTTACACTTGATCTTAGCCAAAAGGCTGAGAAGCTATGATACTATTTTTAAAGAAAAAAAGATCATTTTGTTTTGCCATTTCTTCTGTATACTTTAAAGCCAATCAGGGTTACTAATGTGGAAAATGTAGCTTGCCCTGGAGTTCTTACCACTAATGATTAAGAAGACTTGATTGAAAACCTGAAGCTATTTCACAGTAGAAGCTGATTTTTCGGCCCTGATACAATGATAAATACTAGAGAAATATGTCTATTTAAATACTAACTTCCTTTAAACATAAAAATTGCAAGGTTATAAAGGCTTGTCCTTTCATTTAGAAATAGAGGGGCTTCAAAAGGCGTGTGGGGAAATTATCTTTTAAATCTGTTTTTCCCTGGGCTCTTTGAAGCCCCCTCATGTATTCGATTGCTTTTAAATCAGTCGAAGACCGAAACCCAGTAGTGAACCAGGCCTAACAAACGGGGACTGCGTTCCCTCCAGAAACCTTGAGAGGGGTGACTCTGGACTGTCTTTGATTAGCAACAGGTGGGCATCTTCTGAGCAATTAAGCAATCTTTGCTTAAATTGTGTTTATTTGCCAAGTGGTTTGAGTGAGTTAATAATGTTCTAAAATGACCTTGTTCTCCAAGCATTATGTGTCAATTTCCTCAGATGAACCACGCAGACACTGAGTGGAAAACAACAATAATTCAAACACAAACTTGAGGTTTCAATTTATTTGTTTTTACTTCGTTGGGGTGGGGGGGGGGGGAGATCCCAAGAATTACACATCATAGATGGACACCGAGCAAGAAAACTTAAGAATCTCAATTGTGCAGCATGATTTAAAATGTATATTTATACTTTTTTTTTTAATCTTTGGTTTAAAAGATGATTGACTACAACCTTTTAAACAGCAGGGCCGTAAAACGTTCATCACATTTAGCCAACAGAAATCACTGCCATCGAGTTGATGCCGTCTCACAGTGACCCTATAGAGCAGAACATAACTACTCCTTCCAGTTTCCACGGGAATACATTGTTACAGGAGCAAGCCACTTCATCCTTCTCCGGAGGAGTGGCTGGTGGAGTCAAACTGCTGACCTTGCCGGTAGCAGTCTAACTTTTAACCCACAAAACCATCAGGGTGTATATGCCAAAGAAAGGTAGAAGGCTGACTGACTATTGAAGCTGAGCACAAGCATTTTTGTCACCTCACATATTTTGGATATACCATCAACAGAGGCCAGTCTGTGGAAAAGGACAGTGCCTGGTAAAATAGAGAGGCAGTCCCTCAATGCGTTGGATTCACATAATGGCTGCAACGGTGAGCTCAAACTTGACAATCGTAAGGAAGGAGGACAGAGCAGTATTTCATTCCATGGTGCATAAGGTCTCCATGAGAGAACTAACAATACTCGGGCGTACCTCTCCATGTCCCAGTAAGTAAGCCAGGTGCTTCATAGACCTTCCCTGAGCCTTTACAATCTCGTGAGAGGAGAGGCTCGGACAGCGTAGCTGATTGGCCAAAGAAGCCATATCTAAAACATGATGTGGACCTCAAATCGAAGTAAGTCAATCATACTCAGAGAAACACCAGCACTGGTCATGAGTCAAGCCAATATTGCTCTATTTTGTTCCATTTATTTTGTCATTTGTGGCTTGAATTGCTCATTAGCAATAAGCCAGCTTAGAATCAAAGACTAGTTCTTAGATAGAACAAATTGCTTGAGAAATTTCATCCTATTTATTATCTGTGCTTTTAAGATTATTTAGTAAAATTGTGAAGACACTCTGAGGCACATTGGAAGTCAGAACAGACTGGCTTCGATTCACTCACACGTGCGGCGTAACCCAGAACACTCTTTTGAGAGGGTCTTGTGCCATTCAGGATTTAATAACCATGGTTGGTTCATTCATTAAAGTACAGAGCGTTGCTGACTATCCACGTGGGACTTTCCTACCAGGTAGATGACCTGAGACAAAGGTTGATACCCAGCACTGGTCCCCCCACTTAACTGTATGTCATTTCTCCCACCCCCTGCCAGAACATGCAAGAAGAACAAAGCGAGTTGGTGAAAAGCATAATGAACCAGAAAAAAAATGTTGCCAAAAGAAAAGTTACCTGGTGTATGGCAAGGTTAAATATAAATAACTAAACAATGATTTTTCTAGGCAACGGCTTTCTTCCATTATGAATGGTGAAGAAAGAAGGAATTATGATAGCTAACGGCAGGACTGCCTTTTCTTAAGTGATCAGCAGATTTTTATCTCCGTGTAGGTAAAACTGTTCTTCACGAAAGTGTTGTTTTGTTTTAAATGAGAAATGCTTCCATGTGAACTGTGTTGTTAAAGCGTTAGGCTGGCGTGGGTCAGCGCTCCATGGGGAAGATGCCCTCACCATTTATTCCCAGGTTGACAGATTCTAGTGAGAGCTAAAATTAGCTGAAAAACTACCCTGAGCTCATTTTTTCATGTGAGAGGAGAAGGGGGGGG